GATCTTGGCAAAGAATATGCTATCAAGACAAAAGGAAGAACTGGCAGATCTATTGAAAATTCAGGTCACGAATAAGATCAAGTTCTTGGCGATATATTTGACAGCAAGATGCAGTACACTAAAAGAGAATAATTATATCAAACTTAAGCAGCAGATAGCGCTAGATTTGGTGAAATGGGAGAATTTACAACTGTCATTAATAGGGAGAATATCAACAATCAAGATGAATATATTACCCAGAATTTTATACTTGTTCCAAACAATTCCAATTAGGCTTGGAAAAGATTACTTTGAAGATTTAAATAAAATTGTGTTGAAACATATATGGCAAGGTAAGAAAGCGAGAATAAAGTTAAAACTTTCACAAGATGCTAGAATAAGAGGAGGATTTGGTTTGCCTAATTGGGAGTTGTATTACCAAGCTACAAATTTGATGTGGGTTAAGGAATGGATAACATTAAGAAATACTAGATTGTTGATATTAGAAAGACATGATCTGTTGTTGGGGTGGCATGCTTTTCTATGGTATAAAGGAACTAAAACACAGGGGTATTTTAGAAGACATTATATACGGGAGTCTATGGTTAAACTGGGAGAAGACTAAAAGACAATGTTATTTGAAAATTCCAGTCTGGCTATCGACTTATTGTATAAGATGTTTTACAGATGGCATTTCCCCCCGATAAGAATAGCAAGAATGTTCAAGAACAAATCTGAAAAATGTTGGAAACGTCATCAGACACCTGGCTCATATTACCATATGTGGTGGACTTGTGTGGATGCTAAAAAATATTGGACTAAAATCCATACGTGGTTGGAAAAAATGACAAAAAAGCATATAGATTTGAAACCAGAGATATTTTTATTGGGAATTTTACCTGAAATATATAGTAAAGAATTGAAATAGCTGATTGTAAATGTATTAACAGCAGCTAGGATTGTATTTGCTAAAAACTGGAAAAATGAGAAAATACCATCACAGGAGGAAATCATTAAAAAAATATTGGAATGTGCTGAAATGAGTAGATTGACATTTGAAATCAGAGAACAAGATGATAAACAATTTTATAAAATTTGGGATCTATTCTATCAATGGTTAGACAATAAAACATGGTAATGAAATATGTAGATTCTTAGAAAATAATAAATATATAAAGATGTATTCTTTTCTTATTATATCTACAAAATGATTGTAGGATAGATTTGAAATGATAATATGAACTGTCATAAAACAAATTAAGTAAAATATGATTATTTCGTAAAACATGAATGAATAAAAGTATAGTCAAATTATTGATTAACAATGATATTAATGTATTTAATACTTGATTGAAAATATGAGAATATATACAATGTAATTGTAATTGAAGACTACGAAATGGAAGCACAAAACAATTTGTAAACCAACTGGCACACTGTATGTATATATATGGAAGATGGCTTGATGTTTTTATGTTGTGTTTTTCTATGTTCATCTTAAAAACCAATAAAATTTTTAAAAAACATACTAGGAAAACAAAACAATAGAAATTTACTCATTCCCAAGACTATTCATCAAAATCCCCACAATTTATAGTCCTTAAAATTTTCCAATTTGCACCCTCAAAATTATCGAAATTTTTAAATCTGGTTTAATTTTTCTCCTTTCTTCTTTCGCCTCATAGAGTGTTCTATCAAATAGTATTAATAATCCAGATTGGCTCACCAGATTTCTCCAAATCTCTTTAAACCACAGAATCAAGTGTTCAGTTTCAAGGATGCTTTTTGTTAATTATAGTCCACCTTGCATTTAAAATCTTCAAAGACTCACTAAATACTTTAAAGCAACCAAAATGCCAGTAGATATGGAACTAAAAGAAAGAGACTTTCAGGTGTTGTTTGTCTTTCACTATTTCATGTCTCCTCCTGCTTATTTTTCTTCTGTTCTCAATCAATCCTCACTTGCCAAGGTTTTTTCCCACCCATGTACTAGTATAATATCTTCTTTCACCAGTAGGTGGCGCCCCCACTCTACTTCCAGCATTAAAACAAAGCAAAGATGGAACAGGAGAGAGGGAAAAAAATCCTTTTTCCTTATACGATTTCTTCCAATAATCAGTGTTATCCACAAATTAAGTCAGTTTTCACACTACTACAAGTTCCAGTCCAGACTTTCTATATTTAAAGCTTCATAGACTTCCATTAAAAGTTTGTTTCACTTTTGGATCTATAATCTTTCTTCGTGTGTTAAATCGCCGCTTTCTTAGCGTTTTGAAGTTTTAAAGTTGTCTCACTCGGTTCCAATCCTTTGCTACAAACCTCTCCAGCTCATAATCTTCTTGTCCCAGTAGTCACAGCTTTGGTCTTGCCAAAGTGGCTGTCATCTCTGCTGCTGATCAAGAGGGTTTCTTTGGATCAAGCAAGGAAATTGCTGTATCCTTGCAATCTACAAAGTGTCCATCCTTTCTTCACCACCCCTCTAGGGTGGCTTTGACCCCATAGGGTCTCCTGGAGAGCAGACATCAGCTGGGTTTTGCAGAGCTCCACGGAGCTCCGCTTTCCCATATCCGTCCTGCTGTGATGCCAACTGGTAAATATTTTCTTGACGTACTGAGGATCTCTGGGAGCTTAAGTAACAGATCCCTGCAATAAGTCTACCTTAAAAGTAATTAAAAGCATTTGTTTGAATTTATGCCATGGTGGCAAGAACAAGACTTCTCTCCTCTTATTACATTCTAGAATGTTGACCATTGACCTCTTCAGAGAAACACTTTAGGGAAGGATAGGTCAGAAAGTCATTTACTAAGTCACTCTGAAGAATTTTTCTAGAGGAAAAAATTGTTTAGATTCTCTCACAAATAGATGTTATTTGAGCAGATCCTTTAGAGCAGGGATGTCAAACTCAAGGCCCACAGGCCAGATCCAGCCCGCGATGTGGTTGGATCAGGCCTGTGGGGACATCCTGGTCTACCTGCATCGCTTTGGCCTGGTCTACTTGCATTGCTTCTGCCTGGTGCAGAGAGGAAAGATCAGGCCAGCGAAGTTTCGGCCCAGTGTACCTGGTGAGAAGAGGAAAGATCAGGCCAGTGTAGCTTTGGTCTGGTCTTCCCAATTAGGCCAGCGTGGCTTTGACCCGGTCTATTCAATGCGAAGAGGAAACATGCTAGCAATGTGGGGAATAGCATCAAACTGGCCATGCCTACCTAGTCAGACACGTCCACCCAGTCAGCCATGCCTCCCACCCCACCCCGAGGTCAACAACAGCCCTCATGCGGCCCTCGATGAAATTGAGATTGACATCCCTGCTATAGAGGTAACAAACTTACATCTTGCAGACTACAGGTAGTCCTTGACTTATGACAATTGAACCTAAAATTTCTGTTGTTAAATAAAATATTTGTTAAGTGAGTTTTGCCCCATTTTACAATCTTTCTTGCCACAGTTGTTAAGTTAGTGCATCTGGCTTCCCCATCGACTATGCTTGCCAGAAATTCACAAAAGGTGATCACATGATCCCAGGATGCTGTAATCATCATTATACTTATGAGTTTATGAGTCAGTTGCCAATTTTGATTACCTGATCATGGTGATACTGCAACAGTTATAAGTGTGGAAAACGGTCATAAGTCACTTTTTCAGGGCCGTTGTTATTTTGAAAGATCACTAAAGGAACTATTATAAGTCACCTGTAATCTGGGATGAATCTGCTAGTCCTGAGGAAGTGGACCGTCTTTACAATATCAACTCTACCAGATATTACCTGGATCTCTTATCCTTTCTGGTTAATAAAAACTGATAGGGAAATAACAGGAAGCTGATTAAAGGCAGATTAAAGGTGAGAATGCATCCTTGAGTGAAGAGTTGGTATTGGTGCAAGAACCGCACTGGTGCTGTGGTTAGTGTCATACATCTGCTGACTGCCAGCTGACTGCACTTGGGCAGTTCAAATCTCACCAGGCTCAAAGTTGACTCCGCCTTTCATCCTTCCAAGGTTGGTAAAATGGGGACCCAGATTGTTGGGGGCAATATGCTGACTCTGTAAACTACTTAGAGAGGGCTGGAAAGCACTGTGAAGTGGTGTTTAAGTCTAAGTGCTATTCCTACTGCTATTGTTTGTCTTATTATCTAAACAATTTCAACTTGACAAGTCTTCAACCTCCCTTTTGGATTAAGTTTACTATAAAAGCAACTGACTAATTTTATATTTGAGAGATAATAGGGTCATTCCTATCAACAAAGATAGAAATTGTTCAAACCCATCATTAAATAGATTATTTATTTTATATAGGTAGTCCGTGAGTTACTAATGTAATGAGCCTGCCCATTCCATTCATAACCCGAGGACTCATGAGAGTGAATCTCATATCTTCAACATAATCACTCCCTCCTTTCACGCACACATTCGCTAATTGAATGCGTGGTTCATTAAGTGCCCATGAGTTATTTTAAGGTGGGAAGGCCATGGGAGGACTTATCAATGGAACAGGCCACCTGCTTAAGACCACTCAAGGCTTCCTCAACCCACTGAAATACCTCATGCTCCCCACAATTGCTTTCCCCCCTCCACCCAACCTGCCACGCCAGGTCACTTACCATGTGAAGATCTAGCAAGCTATCTCTTCTCCAGGCTCTCAGCTGCATGTGCCTATCTGATGCTCCATTTAGGCCTTGCCCAACACATTGCAGGCTGAAATGGAGCTCCATTTTGACTGGCAAACTTCTGGGTAAGGCCTGCACAGGCCTAAATGGAGCATCAGAGAGGCGGGCCAATGTCAGGGGGACAGGTTTGCCCCTCTGAACCTCCATTTGGGCTGACGAAGTGCAGGACAGTTCTTTGTACGGCAAACAATTACCATGGTGTCACAAGATTTGTAGTTTTGGGACTTCGTAAACACTAGGGGGTGCTGATAACGTAACTTCAAATATTCACTAAGGGAATGCTTATAACCTGGGGATTACCTATAGTCACAACTTTTTGAAGTAACAGAAGCCAGAAAGAAGAAAAAAAGAGTGATAAATACCTTGGATCTCTGTACAATAGATGTCCCCATGTTGCTCTTTGCTTCCTAAAAAAAGGAGGGAAAAGGAAAATAAAAATTAATGTTCTTCTTGCATGGCAATTCTTATTTATTGATTTGAATACAAACTGCAGTTTATTTGTATTATATTTACTGATAAAAATTAGCAAGCTAGTACTTTTCTTGAACTCTTTCTTTAGTTGTTTGAATATTGTTAATTAAACAAGAACAACAATAATGCAAAAAAAAAAAGATTCAGAGACATTCTTCAAAGAGACATTCAATGGCTTTATAAAATGTGAAAAAAAGAAATAGGGGAAAAAAACCTGTTATATCCACAAGTTACAATGTGGAAGAACATTTTCAGGTGAATCTATATAATCATATTATCTTCAAATGAATTGTTTACAAATATCTCAACAAAATAAATAGAATGAAATAGATACAATCCCTTGTGATATATTCTGTATTGTGTTCTGATGCATCTCTTTTTGTGTGACAGAGGATGGTCACACAAAAAAGAGTTTAATCAGAGCCGTATAGGTCAGGGTGAGATCCCACTGCAATACCCAGCAAGACAAATAGCTGGAGAACAGGTACCTACATTAACAATTCAAGCAGAATGTGTACCCACAATCATTTGTCACAAGATATCTACCCAACATGATGGGGAGAAAAAGGAAGAAACGAGGTATAAGACCACTTGGCATACTTTGCCATACATCAAAAAGCATTTTGGAAGCTGTAGAATGCAGTTTCCGAGATCTGCAAGTGGGCATTGCACACCGCCCAGACGCTATCATAAGAGGACATATTATGCACTGTAAAGATCACTGGGAGGTGGGATGTACTTCCAATGTAAGTTACCAAATCCCCTGCATGGACTGCCCATGTGACTATGTAGGACAGACAGGGAGGAAGCTAACTGCCAGATTGCAAGAACACAAGCAAGTGGTCAGATGAGGAGACTCATTGGTAGCCTCAAACTGCAATGAAAAAGGACAGGCATTCAATTTTGCAGCTACTGAGATTGTTGGATGAGCAAGATCATAAACAGCCAGGGAAGTGATTGAAGTTTGAGAAACAGGCCCCTTGTCAGTCAACGGGGCTGCTGACTTACCACCAGTCTATCAAGTACTTAGAAGGTGAGGGCTGGGCAGCACAAACAAATGACAGCTAATGATTTAAAAGCCAGCAGTCAGTACACTCCAATCAATGTGTAAAAAGCCACTTACAACAGGCGTTATAAATATCACATACAGAACAGCACACATTCTGCTAGAGAGAAGTTCCCTGCTGATGGGCTCTTGCATGAGTCTGAAAACTCAGAAGACAAAAACCTCTAGTCCAAGTGACCAGCCCAGATTGCATCCTGTAATTTTTTTCCTCCCAATATATTCCTCCCAATAAGAAAAGTATTTTCTTCAATAGACACTATACATTAAGTTTTCTGCCATGATGAACATGTTGTTATTTAAAGTAGCAAGAGAAGTTTGTTATCTGCATAACTAATATCATCACCCAGATAAAAGTAACATAAATTTGCTTGGGTCACATATAAGTGCTAAGTCAAAAGTACATCAATAGCATTGCAACGTATTGCTACATGTAATCTCAGCCATTAATTATCCTGTCTGAAAAGCATGGTTTAAACAAATTATGATGGTGCAATGTACAAACAATATTATTTTCCGTTTACTCCCTATGAAGTAGCAGTAACTCGTTAATTTAAAGATACTGATTTCTGTACGTACATTAGAAGAGGCTGTACTGGATGGTCCCTTAGCTTGGAACATAATGCTATATTCTCACCCACACAGGTATATATCTTCACTTGTTTGGGCTTGCTAATTCTTCAATGTCGATATGGCTTATACCTGAGGAGAAAAGGGAAAAATTAAGTCTTCTATACTAGAATATTTCTCCTCTTTCTGAAATGTAAATTCCAGATGACCGAAACAGCGTGCACAAATACTGCACATGCTCTATTTTATTGTACTTCATTTCCCTTTCAGACTGATTACAGATCAAGAGATAAAAAAACAACTCTGAGTTCAATCTCATAGATAGTAGAAATGTGTTAAAATGGTATTATTTTTAGTATATTTGCAAATATATGAACATAAACATATTTACATTATTAGTATGTAGTTTATCTATTTTAATACTTTCATTAATCAATATATTTTACAATATATTTCAACTATTCTTGAAATAGTAGCTATCAATATAACTTAATAATCAATATTACTTAACAAAATAAATTAATGTACCTATATTCTTTAAATCTCTAATATGTGAGATATGTATGTATGCAGGGGCGGGGGAGTTGTATGTGTGTAATTAGAAAGATTCACATTTTCCCCTAAAGATCAGAGTTGAAGAAGCTTCTTGAATGAGAAGCAAAACATCTTCAAAGGAAACAAGAAAGTCCAGTTGCCCCTTGAAAAGGCACCTTTGAGACAACAATGACCAGGATGACCAAGAACCTCCATAAACAATTATCCCCTAAGCTTTCCTTCTTTCAACCCAGAAAAACAAAATGATTGGATTCTCCTACCCAGTTTCAGTTTGTTTGTGTCTTCACTGCCATTTGAATCTCTCCTGTTCGTGTACATTTACAGTTGCTAGAACATCCGTGCCTCTTGGTTCTGCAAAGCCTGTGTGCTGCTTAAGAAATGGCCCTGATTCATTTCCGTTCCGTTCCGTTTGTGGTTAGCTTGTTATTTCCCGCTTTCTCCATTTAAGGACATGCCAGGTACCCATAAGAGGGTTAAATTTTTCAGTTTAGATACTAGAACCATATAAGCAAAGGGCTAAAAGTCCTCCCCAATTTGACATGCCTGAATTCATACCAAGGCAGCCACTGCAAGTTATTTGGCCACTGACACTACCATTAAAACTATTTTGAAAATTGACAGTGCATCAAGAATTAGGCCTTCTAAAATAGAGCAAAATAATAATTTTGTTATAAACAATCACTTGAGGTCTGCTAGAGAAGTGTATTGGGAAGTTGAAATGATTCGATGCTACTTTGTCCTTGTTTTGAGTTCAGATGTCTCCATTAATTCTTTTGTGCAAAGTTTGTCGTAGTACAATGTAGAACAAAGTTTGTCCAACATAGAATCCAGAAATGTGTTGCTTGCAACTGATTTATATCATCTTGGACAAAAATCATTTAAAGGTATCTCTAATCCTGTATATATTTTTGTTGGGATGTATGATGGTGCTCTTGGTGTAGATATGGGGCAAAACAAGGACACATTAGTATAAAGCAATCCTGTCTTCCAATATGTTGTATATAATGAATCTCAACATACTGTTTTGGAAAAACTAGACTTCATGTCCATTGTTGAACAAGAAATTGCTAAACTCAAACAACAACTCACATCCACAATCAGTTTTTAACCCATTATAATTGTTGATTGACAAGAGATTGCATAACCAACTTGTCTTTCCCTCCTTTCTCTCTCCATCTCATCCCAATTTAACTCCTATATCAGTTCAATTACTTATTCATCTGATGAAGTACGGTGCAGCTCACAAAAGCTTATGTCTTTTATTAAAATATATTAGTTTAAAAAGGTGCTGACCAACTCCTTCTGATATCAGAAAGGTGTATGTCAGCACATTATCAATAAACAAACAAACCACACATTCAGACATGGCAGAGAGGCAAGAAAACTGAGATAAGAGTGGGAAAAGAGTCATCAAACAATTAAAGAGTACAGTACAACAAACAAGCACTGGTTCTAAACTCACCTCTGTTGCTTTATTATATTAAAAATGTACATTTATTTATTACATTTATATGTTGTCCATCTCGCTACCCCAAAACAATTAGTATTATATATTTTGTATACCAAGGGCTTCTTTCACTAAATCTAACTAAATACTACTTTAACCATAACTAGGATAAAGGTGGAAAGATACAGAAATACTGGTCAAAATCCAGGCATACCTATATTGTTAGCACAACAGATATTAATGGATGAATACAATTTGGTTCTACATATATAGGAAAGGGAATTCAATAAAAATCAAATACATTTTGAATTTAGTATTTTGTTTAACATATTAGATGTTGAGACTCTAGAGAAGACCAACAAAGATGATTAGAGAATTGGAAGCGAAGAATAGTGGCAGGAACTGGACATGCTTAATGAAATGAAGGACTAGGAGAGACATGATAGCAGTCTTCCAATACTTAAGGGGCTGCCACAAAGAAGTGGGAGTCAAGCTATTCTCTAAAGCACCTGAGGGTAGGACAAGAAGCAATGGGTGGAAACTAATCAAGGAGAGAAGCAACTTAGAACGAAGGAGAAATTTCCTGACAGTTGGAACAATTTTCCAGCAGAATAAGTTGCCTCCAGAAGTTGTGCATGTTCCAACATTGGAGGTTTTTAAGAAGAGATTGAGCTTTGTCTGATTTGTCTGATGTTATAAAGTTTCCTGCTTGAGCAGGGGTTGGACTAGAAGACCTCCAAGGTCCCTTCCAACTGTGTTGTTCTGTTAAATACAGATGTAGTAATTTTACAAAAATGCTAGTAAAATTTATATTGGCCACTTTTAGAAACACATACTCTAAACTAAACTGTTTACCTCCATAGGTTACTGTTTTTGCCTCATCACTCAAATATCTCTGTCAGCACCCTTATTATGCCATTACTTCCCTCAATGGAGTAATAAGAGCTATCCCATAGGATTCTAGGCTTATTCTCATTGCCCTGGGGAATGGGTAATTGAGAAGTCCAATGGTGAAATGAGCTGGATTAGTTGCCATAGAGGTGAGGGAACATTTTTCTTCGTATGGAGTATAACAAATGATGACAGCAGTTGTGTCTAAGTGCCTCTGGAGGGCCTGGATTGTATATTCTCATTTTATGTCGAGTTTCTCAATAATGATAAAAACACAAAACCTGAGGTTAATGTAGAGAAGATTTAAACTTAGAATAACATTATTTCACTTTGAATATACACTGCTCAAAAAAAATAAAGGGAACACTTAAACAACACAATGTAACTCCAAGTCAATCACACTTCTGTGAAATCCACTTAGGTAGCATCACTGATTGACAATCAATTTCACATGCTGTTGTGCAAATGGAATAGACAACAGGTGGAAAGCATAGGCAGTTAGCAAGACATCCCCAAGAAAGGAGTGGTTCTGCAGGTGGTGACCACAGACCACTTCTCAGTTCCTATGCTTTCTGCCTGATGATTTGGTCACTTTTCAATGCTGGCGGTGCTTTCACACTAGCGGTAGCATGAGACAGAGACTACAACCCACACAAGTGGCTCAGGTAGTGCAGCTCATCCAGGATGGCACATCAATGCGAGCTGTGGCAAGGTTTGTTGTGTCTGTCAGCATAGTGTCCAGAGCATGAAGGCGCTACCAGGAGACAGGCCAGTACATCAGGAGACATCGAGGAGGCTGTAGGAGGGCAACAACCCAGCATCAGGACCTCTACCTTCGCCTTTGTGCAAGGAGGGACAGGAGGAGCATTGCCAGAGCCCTGCAAAATGACCTCCAGCAGGCCACAAATGGGCATATGGCTGCTCAAACGGTCAGAAAGAGACTCCATGAGGGTGGTATGAGGGCCTGACATCCACAGGTGGGGGTTGTGCTTACAGCCCAACCGTGCAGGACGTTTGGCATTTGCCAGATAAAACCAAGATTGGCAAATTCGCCACTGGTGCCCTCTGCTCTTCACAGATGAAAGCAGGTTCACACTGAGCACATGTGACAGACATGACAGGGTCTGGAGACGCTGTGGAGAACATTCTGCTGCCTGAAACATCCTCCAGCATGACCAGTTTGGCAGTGGGTCAGTCATGGTGTGGGGTGGCATTTCTTTAGGGGGCTGCACAGCCCTCCATGTGCTCGCCAGAGGTAGCCTGACTGCCATTAGGTACCGAGATGAGATCCTCAGACCCCTTGTGAGACCATATGCTGGTGCGGTTGGCCCTGGGTTCCTCCTAATGCAAGACAATGCTAGACCTCATGTGGCTGGAGTGTGTCAGCAGTTCCTGCAAGACAAAGGCATTGATGCTATGGACTGGCCCGCCCGTTCTCCAGACCTGAATCCAATTGAGCACATCTGGGACATCATGTCTCGCTCCATCCACCAATGCCACATTGTACCACAGACTGTCCAGGAGTTGGGGGATGCTTTAGTCCAGGTGTGGGTTCCCTTTATTTTTTTGAGCAGTGTACATATTCTGTATCCTGTACAGATGCAGATAGATAACTCCACAAAACATCCATAACAAAGTACTTTTATTGGTTCATCAGGTATCCTCATAACTCACATTTGTGATGAAGTTCTTCTTTAATGACCAATCCTTTGCATATCTGTCTTGTAGGTAAAAAGATGATTTATCTTCTATCCTTTTTCCCTCATGTTGTAGCGATAGAAGTAGAAGAGTTACCATGAGTCCATGAGTTCAGCCAAGGGTAAGGAAAACCTCCCCCAACCCCTCAAGGGTCAATTTAGTGACCAATCAGGATTACAGATGTGGTCACATGATATGGACTACATTTTCCAGGATACCTTAACTACAGTTATCATGATGCATTCCCTTAAGAGGACAGCTCACAATTGCTACCTAACTATCCAATTCCCATACACTGGCTGGACAGCACACTCCCCGCCTGGTATTGTAAATTCCACTATTAAAAGAAGAGGGGAAAAATATTAACTATAAACCAAGATAAGCAGTAGACAGTAATACTAACTGAATAGCAAATAACTATATAACTAAGATAAACAGTTAGCTATATAACTGAGAGAAACAGTAAACATTAATAAAGCATCAAACAAAGCAAAGCATGCAAAGCTTGAGGTTCAAATTTCAAGTTCAGCCCTTCTCCACA